TCATGCTTTTTGCCCAAAAATGCCCAAAAATGACCTATTTTGCATTCTTCATAAATTATGCATATCTTTCAAAAAGGTGTGAAAATGGGCCGAAATCTACCAAAACCATGGGCTATAGTCCTTGCTTTTTGCCCAAAAATGGCCAAAAATGACCTATTTTGCATCCTTTATAAATTATGCATATCTTTCAAAAAGGTGTGAAAATGGCCCAAAATCGACCGAAACCATGGGCTATAGTCCATGCTTTTTGCCTAAAAATGGCCAAAAATGGCCTAATTTGGTTTCTTCATAAATAAGTCATATCTTTCATAAAGGTGTGAAAATGGCCCAAAATCGACCAAAACCATGGGCTATAGTCCATGCTTTTTGCCCAAAAATGACCTACTTTGCTTTCTTCATAAGTAATGCATATATTTCAAAAAAGTGTTAAAATTTCCCAAAATCGACCAAAACCATAGGCTATAGTCCATGCTTTTTGCCCAAAAATGGCCAAAAATGACCTAATTTGGTTTCTTCATAAATAATGCATATTTCAAAAAGGGGTGAAAATGGGCCGAAATCTACCAAAACCATGGGCTATAGTCCATGCTTTTTACCCAAAAATGGCCAAAAATGATCTAGTTTGGTGTCTTCATAAATAATGCATATATTTCAAAAAAGTGTTAAAATGGCCCAAAATCGACCAAAACCATGGGCTATAGTCCATGCTTTTTGCCTAAAAATGGCCAAAAATGGCCTAATTTGGTTTCTTCATAAATAAGTCATATCTTTCAAAAAGGTGTGAAAATGGCCCAAAATCGACCAAAACCATGGGCTATAGTCCATGCTTTTTGCCCAAAAATGACCTAATTTGGTTTCTTCATAAATAATGCGTATCTTTCAAAAAGGTGTGAAAATGGCCCAAAATCGACCAAAACCATGGGCTATAGTCCATGCTTTTTACCCAAAAATRSCCAAAAWTGACCTAATWTGRWYTCTTCATRAATAATGCATATATTTCAAAAARGTGTKAAAATKWCCCAAAATCGACCAAAACCATGGGCTATAGTCCATGCTTTTTGCCCAAGTATGAACAAAAATCACCTATTTTGCATCCTTCAAATATTTCAAATCTGTCAAAAAGTTTTGAAAATGGGACAAAATGGACCAAAACCATGGCCAAAAACCATGGCCAAAAACCATCTGTTTTACATCTTTGACAAATAAGTCATATTTTTTAAAAAGGTGTGAAAATGGCCTAAAATTGACCATAATCGTGTGCTATTAAGTCCCATTGCCTGAAAACTTGTAAAAATGAACTATATTGCAAGCCTCCTTTTTGCCCGAAAATGATCGGTTTTCAAACCTCGTAAATAATGCATGTCTTTGAAAAGGTGTTGAATTTGGTCGAAATGAACTATTGTATTTTTCTTATACCATTGAATGGATTGTTCCCCAGCTCGAGAGGCAACGTTTGGTTTGTATAAGACAATGGCCTTTCCATTTTCTCTGCAAATGATGAGCTTCTCTCACTATATGTGGTTTATGTGTGAGAGTAAACAAAAAGACCCACACAAGACAGAGATTGAGCTTGAGTATGTTAATTCAAGGAAAAGTGCTATCAACCGCTGTTCCTTTACGTTCTTGCCGCTGCCGTATGGGGACGATCCCAAGAAGAACTGTAAAGGTGTACTTAGTTTTGAGGTCCCGAAAATACCTGGCCAACAGAAAATGCCGTGGCATCATTTAGATATTCCAACGCCAGCGACAAACGAGACTAGTAGAGGTATGTGCATGCCGTAGAACAAACTAAACTGAGGGTCACTAGGTCGCCGTTCGTATTTAATAATTTGATGATATAGAAACTAGATGTCAAATAATGTAAAATTTGACTTCTGTTTCAGTTTTTTTAAATGTGAATTTTTTTATAGTTTGTTAGTTTATTTGGTTTATTTGCTTGTCTGTCTGACTCTTTGTTGAATCGGTAGATTGGTGGGTTGGTGGGTTGGTGGGTTGGTGGGTTGGTGGGTGGGTGGAGTTGTGGGTTGGAAGGTTGGCGGGTTGGTGGGTCAATTTTTGTTTGTTTT